ACGTTTTTCTAGAAATGCTCCAATAAGCTGTCTGCTTCCAATCTGAGCACTCTTACGCGTGCAAAGAGCTCTACGAGGTTCCCGGCGGTGACCAGGTTGACGGTTCACCGCCGGCGCCAGTCACCGGACTTCCGCGACATACGTAGCAACTTGAGTAGCTCGGAAGAGTGGAGGGCGATGCTCTTGACCGTGGCTGGGGGCACCACCCTTCCTCAGGTGCGTGCGGTCGCAGCGCGGATGTTCGACCGCTACAGATTGAACATCGAAGCGGTGCGGCTCTTGTCTGCCTTCTGGGGCGACGTCGAGCAACCTGGGCGACGGGCTGCAGCGGCAGGCCCGCCCGCGAGCGCCGCTGCCAACCTGGCTCTCGACAAAGCGTGCCTCGTACTACAGATGTGCAAACCAGAGACTGACAGGATCCCCAATGAATCGCGCCCAGGAGAACCTTTCGACTTGCTCACCTGGGGAGCGATGCGAACCCTAGCATCCCGCACAGCCGCCAACAATGGGGCCACAGGCAATGAGCACGCACAAATTTTCACTCCTTTTCCGCCCCGTATATGCTGGGACTCACAGGTGAAGACAACCTCGACGTCGGCCCCGACCAGCTGGCGGCTTCGCCACTCCCCGCTGCCCCACCCCCCAACGAGACTGTCGCGCAATCGACCCGTGGACGCGCAACGCAGCGTCGTGTCCGGAACAGGGCTCAGTCCGATCCGCCAGCTCACCGCGCAAACGGACGCGCAAGAATCGGGACAAGAGTTAGATCCACAACGGCAGAACAGGAGGCTCATCGGGGCGACCAGATCCAGGAGGGCGCGCACTCCCGCGCCTCTCCAGCTGAGTCTCCCGCAGTGCTACCAGGCGACGAGGAGCGCGGAATCAGGGGCCTGCAGAAGGTAGCGTGCGCCTCTTTCCAGTCGCCAAGCGAGCTGCTCGAGGCGCGATGAGACGTGGGTCTGCGATTCCTGGGCCCGACGGGCAAAGGGCCAGGCCCGCCGCCGGCGAAGAGCCGGGTTCGCCGTCCGACCCTCTGGAAGCTATCCAAGGGGTTTTGTCTCAACGCGTTGACCAGACCACCGGTGCTGCGCCTGTCGCTCCGCCCGACCCGATCCTGGCCGCCCGTGCCGCGGCGGGGCTCAGCGCGCAAGCCATCTTGGAGACAGTCCAACAGCTGGCGCAGCAGGGTGTGATCAGCACCAGTAACGTTCAGACGTGCGACGGCGAGGTGGTGGGCACGGTGGCACCCGCCACCGGCGGAGTGTGCGACAACCTACAACAGCAGCGCAACGTCACTCTACATAATACCGACTGCCCCGCGTTCCTTCCTTCCTTCCTTCTTTCCTTCTGCCCTTCTCCTCCTCCTCCTCCTCTTCCTCCTCCTCCTCCCCCTCCTCCTCCTCCTCCCATCCTCCCTGCGTTTCCCCCGCCTAATGCAGCGCTTCGTGGCCCCCTAGGGAGCTCCACCGAAGGTCCCAGCGGCGGAACTTGCATGTGGTTCTTGCGCCGAGTGCGGCGTTTCGAGACCCCGTAGGGAGCTCCACCGAAGGTCCCAATGGCGGAACTCGCATGCGGCTTTTGCCTCCAGCATGGTGTTTCGTGGTCCCATAGGGAGCTCCACCGAAGTTCCCGGTGGCGGAACTCGCGTGCGGTTCCTGCGCCCAGTGCGGTGTTTCGTGGCACCTTAGGGCGCTCCACCGAAGGTCCCAGTGACGGAACTTGCATGCGGTTCCTGCGCCCAGCGCGTCGTGGCCCCATAGGGAGCTTCACCGACGGTCCCAGTGGCGGAACTCGAATGCGCTTCCTCAGCGTGTCGTGGCCCCGTAGGCAGCTCCACCGAAGGTCCCAATGGCGGAACTCGCATGCGGTTCCAGTGCGGTGTTCCGTGGCTTCATAGGGAGCTCCACCGACGGTTCTAGCGGCGAAAATCGCATGCTCTTCGTGCGCCCAACGCAGCACTTCGTGGCCCCCATGGGGATCTCCACCGAAGGTCACCGTGGCGGAACTCGCGCGCGGTTCCTGCGCCCAGTGCAGCGCTTCGTGGCTCCATGCGGAGCTCAATCAGAGGTCCCAGCGGCGGAACTCGCATGCGTTTCCTGCGCCCAGTGCAGCGTTTCGTGGCTCCACAGGGAGCTCGACAGATGGTCCCAGAGGCGGAACTCGCAGGCGGTTCCTGCGCTCAATACAGCGTTTCGTGGCCCCACAGGGAGTGCACCTTGCGCGCGCTTCGTGGTTCCATGGCTTGGGCGCGAACGGTCCGCAGCCAGAGCGTCTCTCGGTCCTGTAGATTCTTGCCCTGAGCCGTCGGCTGTCCGGCGCGCGGCTCCCTAGGCCGACGTCGCCCAGGCGTGATCCTGGACTGCCTGCGGCCGCCGCGACGTCGGTTACGGCAAGAGGAAGGGCGACGACTGGTGGCTGGAGCTCCACGCGCTGCTCTCTCGCGCCACGCTTCACGAAGACCTCCTGCTCACGCGGGCGCCGCAGATTGAGTTTTCTTGGCAGGGCCGCTGGGGTGCTTGCGGAAGCAGCTGGGGCAGTCTGCGGCGCGCGCGAAGCGGTGCTGGACGGGAGGCGTCGGCGCTTGCCAGGGAGCTGGGGCTCGCCGGTTGATCCGCGATGCTTGACGAGGGGGGCGGCCCGCCCGAGCCTCGCCGTCTTTCGACGGTCTGATGTTTCGACCCCGCGCCGGGGACGACCCGCGCGCGTCGCCGGGGCCCTCTCGCAGTGGCCAGCGCGCGTCATTAGAATTCCAGGCTGCGCTCTGCCCAGCGCCTCGCCTGCCTGTCGTCGCTCTGCCCCTGCAGCCAGAGCCTCGCCCTCCATCGGCCTGCCAGCCAGCTCTCTTTGCTCCGCGCAGCGGACGACCCGCTCGCGTCGCTGGGGCCCCTTCGGGGCGACCAGCGCGCGTCGCGGGGGCTCCGCGCTGCGCTGCGCCCGCAGCCTTGTGCTTTGGAGTGTGCGGGCGCAGAGGGGGGAAACAATGGCCAGGACAATCTTGGGCGGTCTAGATTTTTACGCCACCCCCCATCAATCATGTCACAGACAAAGGGGGCCTCGCCGAAGGTCCTGAGGTAGAGCATCGCCGAAGGCCCCAGTGGCGGCGCCCGCGTGTCGCCGCCATTCCATTTTGGCACGCCCCCCACAGTTCTTGCCCCCAGCAGGAGCTCCGCCGAAAACGATATTCACAGATGCGGTGCTCGCGGCTGAATATGGTTGGGTTCTTCGCCAGACTCCTGCGTGGGCGGGGACGTGGTGCTGTGGGTGTGGTCGTGGGCGTTGGCTTGGGCGTGGGCGTGGGCGTGGGCGGGGGTATGGTGCCGTGGGCGTTGGCGTCGGCGTGGGCATGGTTGTGGGCGTTGGCGTGGGGCTGGGAATGGGCGCGGGCGTGGGCTAGCTGTGTGGGTGGGCGTAGGCGTGGGCGTTGGTGTGGGCGTGGGTGTTGGTGTGAGTGTGGCGGTGGGCGCGGGTGTGGGTGTGGGTGCAGATGTGGGTGTGGGTGTGGGCGTGGGTGTGGCATTGGGTGTGGGTGTGGGTGTGGGTGTTGGTGTGGGTGTGGTTTTGGGAGTGGGCCTGGGTGTGATCGCCTCTTTGTTGTCTTGGAATCACGACTGCCTGCCAGAAAGCGCGTGGCCGCGCTCCTTCAGCCAGCCTTGTCGGGGATAATCCCCTGCTTGGAGTTAGTGGCGCGGGCGCGCGACGCTAGCGATTTTTCTGCCCGGTGCGGGATCAGCCCCATTGGTGTCGTTCAGGGTTTTTTTGGCTGCATGTCGGCAGGTCCAGTACAAGCAGTATTTTCTCAGTTTAACTCTGCCCTTTTGCGCTTAGGCGCTAAGCTGGCTGGCTCATGGGAACATGACCCAATGCTTGGCACCCTCATCTTTTTCATTCGCCCTGCCAATGCTGGCGGGCTGCCTGCACTTTCTTTGCGGCGCCCGGTGTAATAAACGGCTCTTGGCACAACTCGTTGCCATCTCACGCCGTTTTTTCAAACCTTGGCCGTGCCATTGTTACCGCAATGTCATGACGACGCATATACTTAAACTTATAATTGCACACCAGACGTATCGACCTGTTTGGATAGCTTAGAACTGCGAGTGGGGCTTGGCTGTTGAGGTCCGGGTGCTATCCCCGACTTTCTGGACGGTTCTTGGGGGGGGAAAGGTCTTGCGCGTCCGGAGACCCCGAGAGACCAGCGGATTGCATTTTGGGCAAAGTTTGCGGATTCTTTGGAAGTAGGGAGGATCTTCATGCAACGATTTTGGTAACACGTGGGGTTTTTACCTGAATCCGGAAGGCCGCCCGTGCGATTCATGTTGTGCCCCTCAGCGCAGGCGCGATGTGAGTCGCGGATACTGCGATGACGGGTGCGTGCAGATGCTCTTCTTGAGCGCAGGATCTGTGGATCAGTATTTATAATCCGATGCCTATGCGAGCGTCGGTCCGAGTGTCGCGGCGAAGGCGTCCCCGTTCAATTTCCCCCGTGTTTTATCTCTTTTTTTCTGTTGTGATTACGTCTCACTTCCAGCTTTCCCGTGGGTCCGTCGCAGCCCCATCCTCATCCCTCCTTTGTGGCAGCGCTGTCTCACTCAGCGGCCTCGCGGTGGGACTCCCCACGACGCTCTGCTGGGCTTTCGGCGCACAGCTCCTGCCCGCGCCTCCCTTCGAGCAGAACATAGTTTTTCAGTGCGAAAGTGTTGACTGTACATGCTAATCTGTAGCCCCTTGGTCCAAGTAAAAACCATCGACATGGTAGCGGAGCGGCGTGGGTTCGTTCCCGCTGCCGCTTCCCTTCCAGCCACCCGCGGCGGGCGCGCGCGCCCGCGATAGGGCGGCGGCGGAGGCCGCGCCCTGGCGGCTGGCAGCGGCGAGGGCCGCGCCAGCCGGCCCTTCATAGCCCAGCGCGCCGCCTAAGAAGAAGAAGAAGACTAAGCGTGGCTCGAGGTCGAACAAAGCAGACATCTTGAGGAGTAGGAAGTTCGACGAGAAGCTCGATCTGAAGTATGGAGGAGATCGAGAGACGCTTCCAGGCGCTCGAGGGAGCGTTGCAGGCTGCAGAACAACGGGTGCAGGCTGCAGAGGAGCGCGCCCTGGCGGCGGAGTCAGCAGCAGCGAGCGCAGGCGCCGCCGTGAACAGGCCCGTGGCAGCGGCGAGGGCCGCGCCTCAGGACCTGGTGGACACTCGGCTTCTGGCGAAGCCGAAGGCGTTCGGAGGCAGCGAAGACGAGTGGCCAGGGTGGAGCTTCAAGATGCTCGCGTACCTCGGGGCCCTCGACGAGCAGATGGCCAACGAGCTGACAGCAGCCATGACGTTCCCGCTGGAGGAAGTGAGGAACGCGAGACTCCTGGAGGAGGGAGCGAGTCAGCGCAGTCGCCAGCTGTACTTCATCCTCGTCCTGCTGCTGGAAGGAGCCGCACTGCAGCTCATCAAGCCAGTCGGCGTCGGAGAAGGTTATCGGGCGTGGAGGACGTTGCAAGACATGTACGAGCCCGACAGACCAGGTCGCCATGCAGGACTGCTGCAAGAGCTGATCGCGTTCCAGTTCCCAGAGGACAACATCGTGGGGATGCTGGCGGACTTCGACTTCAAAGTCACGAAGTACGAGAGCCAGAGCCACGAGAGGATTGGGGACAGGATCAAGATGGCGATACTCCAGCGGGGGATTCAGGACGAGGCTCTTCGAGCGCATCTGGTCCACAATGCGTCGAGGCTAGTCACGTGGGAGCTCATGCGCAACGAAGTGCACATGGTGATCTCGACGAGGAGCGCCATCTCAGCAGTGCCGCCACCAGTTCCGATGGACACGAGCGCGGTGGAGAAGGCGAGGCGCGAGGCAGCGTGGAAGGGCAAAGGAAAGAAGGGCAAGGAAGGCAAGGGCAGGAAGGGCAAGGGCAGCGACACCTCCACGGACCAGAAGAGCCAGGCGGCCAAAGACAGGGCCGAGAAACGATGCTTCCACTGCCACAAGACAGGTCACGTCAAGAGCGATTGCAGGAAGTTCCTCGCAGAGCAGAAGAAGAAGAAGGGCACCAACGCCGTCGAGCAGGAGTCGAAGCCGACGGGAGCTCCACCAGCGGCGAGCGCCGCGGGGAGCGCGGCGCCAGTGATGGCGATCGCGACCGAAAGCGGGGCCGAGCCATTGTGGTGCCTCGCGATCGAGCTGGGGGAGCTGGGAGAAGGGCAAGAATCATCATCGAGTGGAGCAGCAGCGACACCCTCAGCCCCAGCAACAACAGCGATCCACCGTCGTTCGAGCGGGCCGTCAAGCGAGCACGAGCAGCCGAGGCGGCCATCCTTGGTCGGAGGCAGCCCGATCGAGCGACTGAGCCCGCCAGAGGCGTCAAGCGAGCACGCGCAGCCGAGGCAGCCATTCTTGGTCGGGACCAGCCCGATCGAGCAGCTGAATCAGCCAGGGGCAGCAAACGAGCACGAGACGTTCGAGAGCAAGGAGATCGTCGGTATCAATGAGCACTGGGTCATGGTGGACTCGGGTGCTGCACGCTCGGTGTGTCCGCCGAGTCACGGGGCCCACGAGACGCTCAGAGACCTGAGCGAGCGCATCAGGCTGGTCGGAGCGAGCGGCGACGACATCCCGTGCCACGGCGAGCGCTCCGTCACGTACACGAAGGGCGGGCACAAGATCGGGGTGGATTACAAGGTCGCCGACGTCAAGAGGCCAGTGCTGGGCGTGTCGCAGGCGGTCGACAAGGGTACGTCGTGGGTATTCACGCCGAGCGGGAGCTACATGATCCCGAAGCCGATCGAGTTCTCGGACCCAGACGCCGTGCCGCTGGTCAGACGCAACGACCTGTTCTACCTCAAGATGGACAGGTACGGTGAAGGCGTCAAGAACTCGCTCGTCATGCCGGTGCGGGGCGAGGAGCCAGGAGGCGAGCCTGGCGGCGCATCAGCTGCGTCCAGGGCAGCGGCGAGGGCCGCGCTCCAGGGCGGCAGCGGCGGAGGGGCTGCCGCGACTCGCGCTCAGGCCGAGGCGAGCGAGCCAGCAGCGCAGGCAGAGCTCGAGGAGTCCGTGCCAGTCCGAGTCAAGAAGGATCCAGTGAAGCCAAGCTTGGCCGAGCAGAGGACGCACGAGCTGGTGCGCATCCCTGCGAGGTCCTGGTGCTGGGTGTGCGTCAGATCCAAGTTCACGGACGACCCACACTACAAGGCTGGGCACGAGCGCACAGGCGACGAGGTCCAGATCGACTACTACTTCCTGGGCCAGCTGAGCATCCTCAACATGGTGCACATGAACTCCCAGGCTATTCATGGCATCATGGGGCCGAAGGGTACCGACGCCTACATGATCAAGACAGCGGTCGCCACCATCGAGAACTGGGGGCTGGATCGCATCGTGCTGAAGCACGACCAGGAGGCGTCGATCACGGCCCTGGCGAGGGAGATCAAGGCTCAGAGGAAGGCGCCCACGATGATCGAGTCGGCTCAGCGGGCTAACCATCAGGGAGTTGGTGGAGTGGAGCGCGCCAACGAGGAGCTCGGCAAGCAGATCAGGGCGCTGCTGTTCTCGGTGGGCGACAACTACAAGCGGGAGCTCCCAGCCGAGCATGGGCTTCTACCTTGGCTCATTCGGCACGCTGGCTGGCAGCTCAACCGCTTCACGATGCACGGCAACGGCAAGACGACCTACGAGGTGCTCAAGGGGAGGCCGTATCGGGGCGAGCTCGTCAACTTCGCGGAGTGCGTTTGGGCGAGGGACCCCACGCCGACCTCCAAGCTGCAGCCTCGGTGGCACGCGGCGGTGTGGCTGGGCAAGACAGAGGTCTCGGACGAGCACCTGGTGGCGGGTCCGACGCGCACGACAAGGGTACGCACGGTAAGACGGCGGCCGGAGGGTGAGCGGTTCGTGCTGGAGGAGCTGGACAAGTTCGCTGGGGTGCCGTGGGACATGCACCGATCTCCACAGATCGGCATTGTGCCGACGGGAGCGCCCCAGGTGGAGCCGAACCAGCAGCGGCTGCTGCCGCCACCTCCGCCACCGTCAGTGGTCTTGCCAGCCGCGGGCCCGGAGGCGCTGGTGCCACCAGCGATGGTCGGGCCGGCGCCGCCCACGGGGCCAGGAGGCGCAGGGCTGAGGTCGACGTACATCACGAGAGCGCTGATTGACAAGTACGGCTGGACCCCCATGTGCCCGAGGTGCGTCACAGGCATGGGATCGCACAGCGAGGAGTGCCGGAAGAGGATCGAGAACGAGCTGCGCAAGGAGGAAATGGCCAGGGCAGCGGCGGAGGCCGCGCCCTCGTCGGCAGCGGCAGGGGCTGCGCCGACGCCGGCGGCGGCTGGAGCCGCGCCGGGGCCAGCGGCTGGAGCTGGAGACGGCAGGCCAGGATCGTCCGGGGATGCCAGCATGGCACCTCGCGATGACCAGGGCGAGGCTTCGGCGAAGAGGCCGCGCCAGACAGGGGCGATCACAGTCGGGTCGCTCGCGGTCGGGGCCTTCGTGGAGATCAATCCCTGCACGTACGAGGGCCTAGACCAGCAGTCTCACGAGGAGCTCGAGACAGTCACGGAGATCGAGAGCTGCGAGCCGCTGGAGATCGGGATGTTCGAGGTCGGCTCCGTCGAGCCGTCGGCGATCACGGTCCTGCCAGACGCGGAGAAGCACGTGTACGACGCGAGGAGCGGGAAGGAGCTCCCCAGGGACCTGGTCAGGCGCGGACGCGAGGCCGAGATCGAGGAGATGCGGCGACACGGCGTCTTCGAGGAGATCCGCGTGGCCGAGAGTCGAGGCAAGGTGGTGCGTTTCAAGTGGGTCGAGGACCTGCGCACCAAGGACGGCGCCCCCTTCGTCCGGTCCCGAGGCGTCGCCATGGAGATCAACACGTACGGCCGAGAGGACTGCAACGCGGGCACGCCGCCGATCGCCATCGTCAGGGCGATCGTCTCCTTGGCGGCGACGAAGAAGGGTCGGAGGCATCTCTCGGTGCATGACGTCCACGTGGCGTTCTTCCACGCCGACCTCGACGAGTGGATCGTCGTCATCCCGCCTCCAGGACTTAGGAGAGACGGGTACGTGTGGCAGCTCCGGAAGGCCATGTACGGCACGCGCAAGGCGGCCCAGGCCTGGCAGGAGTACGTGGCCGGGGTGTTCAAGAAGAACAACTGGACGCGCATCGCGGTGGCGGCGGGCGTGTACCACGAGCCTCTCTTGGACATGACCTCGGCGATCCACGGTGACGACATCTTGACCGAGGGCGAGGAGGAGTCCCTGGATGTCCTGGACCAGCAGCTGATGGCGAGCATGGACGTCAAGTGCATCGGTCGTGTCGGGCCGGATGGCGTCCGCGAGCTCCCGTACCTCAAGCGCAAGATCAGGTGGACAGGCAAGGGATTCGTCTGGATCGGCGACACGAAGCACGTGACGAGATGCGTGGAGCTGCTGGGCCTTACGGAGTGCAAGCCAGCGGACACGCCTGGGAGCAAGGCCACGGGCAAGAGCGTCCGGGAGGCGCTGGACCCGCTTCCACACGACGAGGCGAGGCTCTACCAGCAGGTCGCGGGGCTCGTCAACTACGTGGCGGTAGACAGGCCAGACATCCAGTTCGCGGTGAAGGTGATCCTCACGGACATGGGGAAGCCCACAGTCATCAGCATGCTTAGGCTGAGGCGGTGTGTGCGGTATCTCCACGGTCGGCGCGAGCTCGGGTGGTTCTACGAGAAGCAGGAGATGCCGAAGGAGGTTCTCTACGAGACGGACTCGGACTGGGCAGAGGATGAGATCACGAGGAAATCGACCAGCTCCGTGTATGGCTTCTTCGGCAGCCACCTCCTGGAGACCCAGGTGGCATCGCAGCCCGTCGTCGCGCTCAGCAGCGGAGAGGCCGAGTTTTACGCCATCGGCCGAGGCGCGGCGAGTGCGATCATGATGCGGCAGTTCTATCAGCAGTGTGGCATCAAGGTCGCGTCGAAGGTTCACAGCGACTCGAATGCAGGCAGGGCGATCGCGACACGGATTGGCAGTGGCAAGGTACGGCATCTACAGATACGGGACCTGTGGGTGCAGGAACGAGTCAGGCTCGGCGAGTTGCAGCTCGGGCGAGTCGACACGGAGAGCAACAGGAGCGACTTGGGGACCAAGCATCTGGACGGCAAGCGGGTGCTCAAGTTGCTGGAGATGTCCAACCTGCGGCTTCTGACCAAGGGGCTCGCCGCAGGTGTGGGCGTCACTTTCGCGGAGGCGGCCGAGCATGGAGACAAGCAGTGCTCTGCAGCCGCCGACGACGAGGTCGAGTCGAACATCGGCTCGATCGTTCTCGCCGTGATCATGTTCATCATCGTGCTGGTGCTCATGGTCAAGGGCGCAGTTGTGTGCACGAGAGGGGCGGTGCAGCTCTTCTCATCGAGGGCGGCGAGTGCTGCCCCACCAGCGGGAGCGGCGAGGGCTGCCCCGCGGGCCGACGGCACGGCGAGGCCCGAGGCGGCGCCGAAGGACGCGCCTGAAGGGCATGTCGTTTCTCGGGCAGCGGCGATAGCTGCGCCTGAGCAGGTCGCCGAAGGGCGAGACCTCGGTGCGGAGTACCTCGGGAAGATGCTGGCTGAGGCCACCGTGGCAGAGCTCAAGGAGGAGCTCAGGTGGCGGAAGCTGCCAGTGAGCGGCTTGAAGGCGGACCTCATTGTCCGTCTGACGAGGGACGGCGGCCAGCACATGGCCAGCAGTGAGGGGCTAGCTGCAGCGGCATGGGCCGCGCGGCTGGTCCCAGGCAGGGTGCCCATCCGAGCGTTCCGCTCGGACACTAGCCTAGGCGCGCACCTAGGCGCGCTTCTCAGCAGCACGGGGTAGGTCCGCGCCGAAAGAAAGACCCTTTGAGGGCCACCCAAGACGGGTGAGGGCGCGGCCAGAGGCCGCTCCTTTGAGCCGAGGGCGCGCGTCAAGCGCAGGCGCGCGGGAGCCACGGCGGGGACGCCCGCTTTGGCTTGAGCTTGAGCCTTCAGAAGGGAGGCTCGAGCCGCAGTACAGAGAAGATGCAAGGCGATGCGCTCGCCTGCATCTTGGAGGCGTGTTGACTGTACATGCTAATCTGTAGCCCCTTGGTCCAAGTAAAAACCATCGACAGAAAGGCAAGGAGGATAGAACGGGCGATGATGATGATGATGATGATGATGATGATGATGATGATGATGATGATGATGATGATGATGATGATGATGATGATGATGATTATGTTAATGATGATGACGATGATGATGATGCTTATGATATTGATACGGATGATAATGACGCCAGAGTTGCTGATGGTTATGACTTGTGAGGCTAGCTGTTTCTGGTGATGATGACGATGATTCTGATGATGATTCTGTTGATGATGATGGGGGTGATGATGGTGATGGTGATGCTGGTGACGATGATTCTCATGATGGTGCTGATGACAACGATGATGGTAGTGGTGGTGCTGATGATGAGGATGCTCATGATCAAGACGGCGACGATGATGTCGATGGTGCTGGCGATACATACGACGATGATGATAGTGTGGTTGATGATGGGGCTTACGATAATGTGGCTGGTGATGCTGCTGCTGATGATGCTAACGATGATGCCAACGACGATGAGGATGGTGATGATTATGTTGCTGATGCTGATGATCATCATGATGATGATGATGAGGCCGAGG